TAAAAATTATTATTCTCGAATTCAAAATGTAAAAATATGTACAAAATTAAATTATATTCGACAAATAGGGGGAAATTCGAATTATCGATGTTTGTTTAAACAAAAACTAAATTAGGTTTACAGAAACGAAGCAAAAAAAAACCTAACCATAGATACATTCCATAAGGTAGCTTTCGAAAAGAGGATTTTACCTCTTAACGCAAAAAAAGACTTCTCTCTCGCCTTTTTATACATTTGAAAAAAAAATTCGGTCAGTAACTTCTAAAAAAAAATATCTGACCATAATAACACTTTCGATATTTTTCCCCACCTTTTTTCAAAACAAAAAAAATCAAATTCAATAATTAGGGCGATTAACGCAAAAAAAAACCGTCTCATATTTCGAATCTCTCTAGAAATATAAGTTATTAATTAGTTGCACAAAAAAGTTTAAATACGTTTAATTGCGAAAACCATGTTTTGTTTTTATTTGTCACTAAAATAATCTAGACTAGTAATTAGATATTAAGAATTTTTCTCGAATTTTAAGAATTTTTTTCACACACAAAACACAACACAATGCACCGCTCGATTTATTTATTATCCAAAAGAAAAAGCTGCGGTCACTGTTAGTGTTTAATTTGTCAAGAAAAAAAAACAGTCCGTATGCTTTTTTTTACTTTCTTATTATTACCTTCGACAATAAGCGTTGTTTGTACTTTTGTACAGGTGAATTTTTACTTAGCTGCAGTTAACAAAAAAAAAAGGATGACGTAAGAGGACACCTTTGATTAGTTTCAATTTTTCTCAATTTTTGCACATAACACACAATTTTTACCATCCCCCCTCTTCTCTCTAATAGAAAAACTTTGATTTTCAACTTTTTATCGACAAAAAAAAAATATAAAAAAGAAAACGAATGAGATATATGGAAAATAATGGCCGACAAATTTGTTCTCAATTTTTATTTCCTACAAATTCGCCGGCAATTAAATTTCCAATATTACTGCGTGTTGTATATTGAATATATATATAAATATATAAATATTAAAATATTATAAATACTACGATATGAGATTAAAAATAAAAAAAAATATGATATATACTGTGTCCCGTGTACTTGATCAGACGATTGTTAAAAAAAAAATTTATCCCTTCGTAAATCTTTCAAGTACCAGAGACCTGTCGTTATCTGTCTCTTTGAGAAAAAGAACACTATAAATCAGAGTGATGTTTTACTTAAAAAAAAATGAAAAGAAAGAATAAAAACAAAGTTAATGAAATTAATTCAAGAATGTAATGTGCATAGCACACTACGAAAAAAAATATAGATGATAATATGTGAGTGTTAATTACCAAAATAGGTATTTGTAACGTATTCGCAATCAGGATGTTGTTTATAGCCACTTGAAAAATCGACATTTCGCATCTTCGTATCTGAATATCAATCTAATAAATATAAAATAACGTCTAAGCAAAAAAAAAAACGAATATTTAAGAAACAAGGAAAAAAAATTGTATCTCAAAGAAAATTTATAGAATAAAAAAACCGTCTAAAAAATCCAAGATTTGTCTGCGACATAATCTAAGATTCCGTTTCAAAACAAAAAAGTCTGAAATGAAAAACATCAAAAGAAAAACAGTTTTTTCTAAAAAGCGATAAGTAAAAATGGAACGCGCAATAAGTTTTTTAAAAAATAGCAATTACAAAAAAAATATAGCAATTTTTCAACATTTTTTACCTAATGTTTAACTTTTAAAAAGCAACGGTCCAAAATCACTGCCAAAAACATCGCTTTTTCATACTAATTTTTCCAATCACGAAAATCATTAATCTTGTTGAATTAAATATTCACAAACTATTTATTATTATTTATTCACTTCAATAAAATTAACAAAAAAATTTATTCTATTTAAATCAACAAAGCGAATAAGTTTTATTTTATTCAAATAAAAAAATGAATAAATAAATTTATTTCTTTTATTGAAATAAATAAAACTAATGAACAAATTTATTTACTCTACTAAATTAAATAAATAATAATAAATACAAAATACTTGAGATATAAAATAGAAAAAAAATAACCAGCAAAAAATATTCCTTACGCAGGATACGTTTAATGTACAAAAAAAAAACAACAAAAAAAACAAAACGATATTGTGGTACATTGATATAACTTACTTTGTAATTGATTTTCTACTATTAAATTAATTGATAACTAATTACTTAACATTCGATGGTCATGCTATCGCGTTATGCTTTTATTAATCACAAACTTAATGGCGCGTGTCCAGTCAATTCCGTTTTGACATTTTAGAAAACAAAAAATAAACGAAAAAATACAAAAAAAGCTCGTAACTCGCGAGCTTTTTATACCGAAAGTTTGTAAAACTCGTAATGACTTATATAATATATTTAAAAAAAAATGAAGGAAAAAAGAAAAAAAGCATGATCGTTGGCCATACAATGGAGTATATAAATATATAAATATAAAAAAATATATATATATTTATGTTAATAATAAGCTTAGGTAATATAACGATTTACGATTACTATTACCTGGTGTTCTCTGAAACATTTTTTTTTCTAACTCTTTTGTTCAAAGCGAAATTCACCTTTAATTTTTGATTCGAATATGTTTTCTTAATTTTTATACGTATATTCTATACAATTCAATATAAATAAATTATTCTACTAGTTCAGGGACAGAAATTATAATTACTTTTTATTTAATTTGCTCGTTCGTTTACACTCCCAATAAACACACTGGTTGGTTCTTGAATATTCGAGACTGTAAAATGCTTCTCAATAATTTCAATACTTAAAAAAACGTCTGATTGAGAATTAGATTTTCAAATACGTTTTATATTTAGATAAAATTATATTTTAGTATTATAATTTAATTGTAATTTAATTTAATTACAATTTAATTTAATTGTAATTATTATTTAATTTAATTGTAATTACAATTTAATTTAATTGTAATTATTATTTAATTGTATCACATTCTATTCAATTTCATTTTATTTCATTCTATTATATTTTATTCTATTCTATAAAGAATAAAAATAAAATTGAATTGAATAAATTAATGAAAAAATAATTTTATTACAATTAATTTTATTATAATTTAATTTTATTAAAATTTAATTAAATTGCGATTAATATTATAATTTAATTTCCTAACGTAATTGAAGAATTATAATTATGAATTAATTAATTATGACAAAATATAATTACCTATAATATTAGAAGACAAATTTTTTTTATTAATTTTTTTCAAGTAACGACGTTAAATTATAATCAGAAAATATTATAATCTAGTTTGTTATTAGAATTTTTAAAAGAAAGTAATTATGAATAATTCGTATTTTGTATTTTATATACTAATTTTTGTAAAGAACAATTTTTGTAAATTTTTATCACGAGAAATATTTAATCAAAATAAATTTTATCAATATAAAATTATTATCAATAAATAATATTATTAAAAAAAAAAAATATTTATCCAAAAAAAAATTTATAGCGCCTGAAAAGCGTATTTTTTGATCTGAAAATTTTGTAATTTATCCAAAAAGAAAATAATTTATAATATATTTAAAAAGTAATCGAATAAATATTTATAATAGAATTTATTTAGAATTTTTTTCTAATTTTTGTTTTGTTTCTAAATACCAAACCTGTGTGTTTATTGTTAACAAGACTTAGAATGTAAAAAAGATAAGGTTTCGTTTGCCTGAAATGATAAACAATGGGCCGGCGAAATCAGCAATGTTTTTTATTTAACTTCTTCTAATATTAGTTTTCTTTTTTAATATAATTCTCGTTCGGAGATCGCTTTTTAGATTAAAAGAAAAAGTAAAAAATAATGACACACACATTTTTGAACGATTATTAATAATGGAGTGATAGGTAAAAAAAACAGCGAACATGTTAACACGAGTGGAAGGGCAAAAGCATTTTTTTTTAATTTTTTTTTTTTTGTATCTGTAATTGTAGATACAACTCGATAAGGCGAGAGTTAATCTAACTAAGAATTCAAATGAAACTAATATATAGAGAGCTGTATGTAATAATTATAAGTTCAATTCATCGCTATGATATTATACTTAGGTATTATATGATTTTTGAAATAAAAACATTTGTTTTAAATACAATCTGAATTTTCACTATTTTTTTTTTTTTACGTTAAAAACTGTCAAGTTCCCTTTTTCTTTTTTGAATTTTTAATGAAATTTTAATAAATGTTATCATTATATTTACCTAATTTATTTATTTTTTACTGTTTGTATCTATTTTTGTCTTATTTATATTATTTTAATTTTTATTCTTTTTATTATCTTGGTACTTTTCTTTTTTGTTTTTATTATCAATTTTTAATTTTTTCGTTTATATTAATTTTTTTTCATTTATCATCTATTTTTATTTTATGTTTTTAAAACATTTTTTTTATTCTTTATTTTTACTTCATTTATTTGAAATTCTTTTACTAAAAAATAATTTTTTAAACAGTCGAAGAAAAGGGAAAAAGAAGAATAAATCTTGAACTATAAAAAGAATTCTTTCTACGTAAAAATTTTCTTTCTGCAAATTTTCCTTCTTTAGAAAAATTGAAAAAATAAATTGAAAAAATCATTTTTTGAAATTAATTTTCAGTTAAAGAGCAGTTAAAGAATAAAAAGAAAAAGAAGTAGAAATCTTTAACTATAAAAAAATTCTTTCTACGTAAAAAATGTTTCTCTGTAAATTTTTTTTCTGTAGAAGAAATAAAAAAAATTTTCCAAATAAGATGAAAAAATTAATTTCTGATTCATTAATTTTATAGATTTTATAATTTATTTTTCCAAATTGAACAATAAACAAAATTTGAACAGAAGATGAAATAAATTTTTGAAATTAATTTTTCCAAAAGAAACGAAAAGGAAATTTGAGCCAAAGACGAAAAAATCAGTTTTTTAAAAATAAATCTTTCCAAAAGCAAATTCCAACCAAACTGATGGCACTTTTTGATTAATTACAGGTGGTAGGCCATCGAGGAACATTGGTGAATCGTGAGTATTGATCAATTTTTTTTTAATCGAAAATTTGTGTCCGTTTGTTTCTTTTTTTTCTCGTTTTTTTTTTCTTTCTATATGATTGATTGATTTTACGAGCACATTTTTCGTAACTAATAAACAAAGTGGCTGGATATATTTTTTTTCTCAATTTTTTTTTCTCTTGATTTGTATAACCGAACGTTATTAACATTAACTTTTCCGAAGACAATAGATTAGTTTCTAGATTTTTTTCGCATGACTCGCACATTTTCAGAGACTTAGCGGATCCAGCGGCGAGCGTTAATCTACTTCGCTTCCACAAACCAAAAACAGACGATACCAATGGGCGAAGGCAAGGAGCACTTTTTATTTTTCTCTCTCTCTCTCTCTCTCTCTCTCTCTCTCTCTCTCTTTCTCTGTCTTTCATTATTTCTTTCTGTTGCTATAGAAAAAAATAAAATTAAAAAAAAAATTTCGTGCGCATTGCAATCGACTGGTCACGCACTGCTCGTCGTTTTCTGTTTGCTTTGCTACGTGGCTTGCTTCAATGAACGCCCATATAGTCAGCTAAGAAATGATACCTCTAGAATTTTTTTTTTCGTTTTTTCGAGAAAATTTTCTCAATCTACCTTTCGTCTAATAACAATAATTCACTTAGAAAACGATTTTATTGATTAAACAAAATAAAGAAAATTTTTCTTCTTTCAATTTCGAAGGGAACTTTTCTCTATTGAATGATAAAAATTCTATCTTTGAAAGTATATTTCTCTTTTTACTAAATATTTTTAGGAGAGAAACTATTTTATTTACTTATTATTTAATTAAATATCTGCTAATACTTTTGGCGGAGAAAATTTTTTTATTTTTTATTTATTTGTTATTTAACTTTCTGAAATATAAATTATTTTCTTTATAAATGGTTTTATTTATATTATTTCTATTTTTATTCATTTTTTATTATTAAATATGAAATGTCCCGTTGAATTTTCCAAATAAATAAATATATTTTCATACTAAAATACTTTTAATTGAGGAAAAATGTACATATTTTATTTTTTTATCCATTTCACTTTGGAAAAATTAAAAAGAAAAAAATACTTTCAAGATGAAGGAAAATAAAAGTAGGATACATAAATTTTTACGAGAAAAACTTTTCTGAGGTATATCGTTACTTTATTTTCGCGAGGGAAAAAGTAGTTTCAGCATTTTGCAAACTTTATGCACAAAAATTGTCGAAAATAAATCAATACTGGGCTTTGGCAGTCATCCACACAAAAAAAACTTTTTTCTTCCCCACTTTTTTCTTTTCTTTGCTCACGTGTGTGCTTTTTCTTACTGAATTGTCTTGAATTTAAATTGTGTAAATTTTTTCATTACTTTCCAAATGACACTTTACTTTGAAATGCAATTTTCAATCACAGTTTCAATCACACAATATTAATAAAAAAATTTTTTTTCATTTAATGTTATAAATTTTAATTCAGAAAAATTAAAAAGAAAATAAATTTTTTCATTTAATTTTATGGATAATACAAATAATTTTTACTTTTTTATTTAAATTCACAGAAAAGAAAAATTAAAAAAGTTCTTTCATGTACTTTGTTAATAACAGATTTATACATTAATGCAAGTAATATTTTTTAATTTTTCATTGCTAACTAACAAATGTAAATTAATAGAAAAAATTGTAATCATTGTGTTTTTAACATTTTTTTAATAAACACTAAAAAATCAACTAAGCAACAATAATTTTCTCCACTTTATATAGCAAACACACTAATTCATAATTAGTTATTAACGAATTGCATGACAATATATAGAAACTATAATACATCTCAATTCATTCAAATTTCAAAGCGATAAAATTACATAATTTATAATTTTTTATAGAAAACTATTAAAATTATAAATTATAAATTAAATTAAAAAGCATAAATTATGAATTAAAAAAAAAGTATAAATTATAAATTATATTATATAATTAAGTCAGTAACCAATAATTTAAATTAAAATTTAAAAATTTGTCTGAATAATTATTTAAAAAATTATATCCATAATTTTTCCGCTTATTTTTATACAATTTTAGTAAAAAAAATTGAAATTTTCCCACTGCAATAACGAATTTATCAAAAAGAAAACAAGTAGTACACTTGCATTGTAAATAGCGCTAGTTCTGTATTTTAAATTAGAATTTGATTTCTGTAAATGTTGAAATTATTAATTTAATATAAACAAAAGTTCAAATCAAATGACTGAGATCCACCTGATTAATGTAAGTATTAGTGAATTTAAGTGTAAAAATTGTGAGTTTCTGTCTTGTAGTTTTCAGAAAATATTTTTTCATTAATATTTCTTTTTCTCCTTAATTTAAACAATTTTTTATTGATAGTATAGAAATGTAACGCAATGTGTCAAAAAGCATGTCAGTTTTTTTATAACAAACATTTTTTTTTCAGTTTCAAACCGATGCTTAAGTGTCGAATTTGTAAAGTCTGCATTTTGTATTATGTGTATAATTTGAATTTTAATTTAATTATAATCATAATTATAATATAATAATATAATTTATTTAAATTTATAAAAATATGAAAATTTGGCATAATTAAAATAGATAATATTAAGCTATTATTAGTAATATTAATACTAATTATTATTATTAAATAATAATAAAATTATATTTATATCAAAGTGAGATTTTTCAAACAAAAATTCTTAATAATTTCAGATAATTTTCAAATTTTTTGAAAAACGTTAAATAAAATAAATTTTTTTTCTAATTAAAGTGAGGTTGAAGGAAAAAATTTAATTTTCTATTGATACATTGAATCATTATAAATAATTGTACAGCAATTTTTCAATTTGCATTTATAGTTTTCTCACTTTGTACATAAAGCAAGGAAAATTTCTAGACGCAATTTATTTATTGTATATTGTATAGACAAGTGTTAAAATACTTATCATCGCCAACAATTATTATAGATAGTAATTAATTATTTAATTACTGTAAATATTTCTTTTATGTCTACAATTAGAAATGTTTATTTGTACAAATAATTTATTATTCTTTGTTTATCAAATTTAATTTAATTATTCAATTTAATATCACTTAATTACTATTTTAAATTATTAATTCAGTTTTTTTAATTAATTAAAATGATTAGGAGAATTAGGATTCGAATTAGAAGAATAAAATTAATTTAAAAAATTAAATCAATTGACTGAAGTAAATAAGTTAATAAATAATTAACGTAATTAACTCAAGCAATACTTCAAATTAAGTTAATTATTATTTGATATAGTAATTGAAATAATTATTTCAATTAGTTAAGTGTGATCATTTGTTCAAGTAATTCAAATAATTGATTTTTGATTGAATGAAATAATTAGATTAATTAAAATAATTTAAATTAAATTAAAATAAATAATTCGGTTAAGTTAGATTTTTTAATTATTTAAAATAATTAATTCAATAAATGAAATAATTCATTAAAACAATTGAAACAACTATTGAAAATTAATTTAAATTCCAAAGCGATTGATAAGTATTTTCATTTAAAAAAATGCATAAAAATGCAAAAAAATAAAATAAAAAATTCACCGAGAATTAGAAAATAATAACAAAATAATATTATTTAAAATTAGAAGCGATACAGAAAGTGCCGGCCGATATTCCCGAAGCGAAGTTGACAACTCATCATCAGGTAGACGACGACGACCTAAAATTACCTTCTCACAACTTTTCAAACGTAACAAGGACAAAGTTTCCGGCGCCGATACCGATACAGTGAGGACGAATGTCACTGTTGATGATGAAAAGGTAATTTTTATTTTTCTATTCCCCCTCCCCTCTCATAATTTCTTGATAAGATTTTTTAATACAAAAACTACTAATTTCCTTGCACACCTGATCTCTATACTTAATAAGGAAACATGTGCCAATGTATCACGCGACAATTTTTATTTTCCAATTCTAATCTCATTTTTCCAACAAAATGTATATTATCTTGTTTAAAAGAATATATCAAAATTTAAATATTTTTTTCCTCTCATTCAAATAAATTACAAAATAAACTCAATAATTGATTAAAATTTGAATTTGAAATTATTTTCAGTTTTCACAATATAATTATTGTGAAAAAGAAGAAAAACATGTAGAGTGAATAAAATTTAATTACCGTAAATAAATACATAAAAAAAAAATAATAGAAGTAATCGTCATTATTTTTTTGTTTTCTTGTTTTGTATTTAAAAAAGAATAATACAAGAAATTACTAAAGACAACTACGTAAAAAAATAAATAATAGGAGAAAAATAATAGAAAGAGGTAAATGTATAAAAAATTAAGTAATAGTAAAAAATAAATAATATAAAGTATAAGTAAGTAAATATTTAAAAATAAATTTTTTGTTTCTAAATTAAATAATAGAATTTTAATAAGTAGTTTTTTCTATAAAATTATGTAAAATATGCTAATGAATAACAATGGCAAAGGAATCGATCATATTCACGCCTTGGAGATATATTTTTTTTCTCTTGAAAACTTGGTCGATTATTAAATTGATTATGGACTAATTAATAACTATTTCAATATTATTAATTATTATAAACGCGTGACCTTTGAAAACGTTTTGCATATACATATGTATATATTGGCCAAAGAGAAAATGTTGCTTTGGTTTAGTAAAGTTTTTTCAACCGCGGTCACGTTGCCCTGTCATCCTATAATTTACATGAAATTAAAATAATATTATAGGATATGATTTATGATCGGATAGATACAGTCGATATTGCACCTGCCAATGAAGAAGTTTTTCACCAACTCGCGCTCTCCTTTCATATACACACTTTACAAGTATACTCATAAATTCCAATATTTTTAAAGAGCTGTCGGAAACTTTAATTGTTACAAATTAAAGCTTCGATTGAATCTTGATAAAAGCCAATCCATTTCTCATTTACTCTCTCGAAGGCTAATTTTTTTTCGTAATTATTTTTCTTCCCACCTTTTTACAAGGTTCGAAATAATGCATTTAAAATTGGAAAATTTATCTTTAGATTATTTTTTTTTTGTTACGTTGGATTTATTGCAGAATTTATTTTACATAAAAATCTTGTTTCTTATATACAAAAAGCAAAAGAATAAATGCAAAGAATAAAAATTCGAACAATAAAATAATTAAAATTGTCCTAATTATAATATTAAAATGATAACTGAAACTAAAAACACAAAATTAAAAACTAAAAATACAAGAGGAAAAAATAAAAGTACAAAAATAATACCAAATTCAAAAATATGTGCAAAACCAAAAATAAATATAAAATTTTTTTTTTTATTTAAAGAATTAAAATGATGAAAAAATAAAATAATAAAAACATTAAAAACTAAAAAATAAGCAAGGAAACGTTGATACCGGTCACATGTATGTGAAAATTCCGCGAAAGAAAAACACCACTGCACAAGTTGAGAACCCTTCTTTTTGAAGGTCTCAACTTCGTGAAAATGTGGTATCTTCCCTTGGGTTGACTTTTTCGACATCGACATGTAGAAAAAATTAGTCTAGCTGGGCCTTACTCGTCGATTTCCCTGACCGCGCGCCTTTCTCTGTCTTTTCTATCTCTGTCTCTCTCTACTCTTCGTTTCCGCTTTTCCTCTTTCGCATTCCTCCCCAGCAAAGATTCAAAGGGCCCAGCAGCCACTATATCTATATATATATATATATATGCTTCGAGTTAAAATTCGTTTCAACAATTTTGAAATTAACAGGATATATTGTAATAATGATTTATTAATCATTTATACTTATACTTATATTGTTTACTATGAATTAGTTTAACAATATTTGACTGATTAAGTATAAATATTATTATTCCTATTATTATAATTATTATTATATGAGTGTTGGTATTATTAATACTGTTAATATTATCAACATTGTTATGTTTTATTGAATTGTTGTTCACTTTTATTAACAAGTTAATGTTAATTATTTTTTGGCTTTGAGAAATAATTCTTTTAATGTTTAAAAATAATAATTTTATTAGTAATACGTTTATATTATCTTGAGTAATAATTTCGATTATTGTTTAATTGTTTAATTAATAAATAAATTAGTATTAATTAAATAATTAATAAATCAATATTAAATTAAATAAAGAGATAAATATATTCCTTTATTTATAATATAATTATACAACGTTATGCAAATTATATGCATTATTATGTCTCAATTAGGGTAAAATGAATGTAAAATTAGATTTTTAAGTTTAATTAAGTTTATTTTATATTTTAATATTAAGTTAGTTATATGTAAGCTGACTAGCAAGTTCGTCTCTTGTTATCCCTCTTACATGTATAAAAAATCTTCCCCTTCCGAGAGGCAGATTTTTTATGCATAGAGTTATTGGGTATAAAAGGCGACGAAAATGCCCAGTCAGAGAGTCACTTCGCCGCCAACCCTTGTAACGGAACTACTTCCGTAGTCTCCTCCTAAATAAAACTTTAAATAAAATTTTAAAGACCAACTTAAACTGTTGTCCCTTTTTCTTTTACCTACACTACTACACCAGCTCTTGCACTATTACCGTACACACTGGCAATACGGGATTTATTTCCTGATTTTGCGCGTGAGTCGGTACTATAGTACTCATTTCACCCCGTACGAGAGTTACGCACAATCATACGTCACTGAGAGTTGCCACTTTTGACAGTGCTTTGCGGGAATTTTTTTCCTGTTCCGAGCTCTGTGCAGGAGGCAAACTTTCAACGAAACCCTTACACCCACAAGCTATTTAACCCCAATTTACTACCACACTGATTATAGCACTACGGGAAGAAATTCCTTGCTCTGCTTAATGCGTGAGGTGGTCGAACGGGACGATGGCTTTTGGGGTTAATGGGTCTGACGTCACTGAGAAAAACTACCACCTTTGACAGAACTTTGCGGGAATTTTTCCTGTTCTGAGCTCTGTGCAGGAGGCAATTTCTCAAGACGACAGCAGTATGACTATTGTGTAACTCTCTTCCTTCCCACTACAGTACACAACTTTATTTGTAAACTTTTCCTGAATTTTATGATTAATAACAATTAATTATTAACTTTCAGACTTTGCTTAATTTTGAACTTCTCTAATAAGTGAACCATTAACCAACATCCATTTACAGATTTATTAATTAATTCTGTGTAAATGCACATTTCCAACCCCAGAAATGTGAACAAACCATTCTAACCTTCAAGTTTGTTTACGTTTGTGTGTCTAAATTCCACATCGACTTGACGCATTTGTTTTGACAGAAAAGCTAACCTCTAAATTCGGCCTCCTTCTGAGTCTTTAAATCTCGAAGTGCCCAGTCGATTATCGATTATCGAACTTCGAGAGATCGATTCTCGATTATCGAACATCGAGAGATCGATATATCGCTGACGTCACTGTTTAACGCCGGCTACGGAGAAGCTGCCTTCCCCTAAGGCCCAGCTACTCTGACGTCACTGCCAAGGTGCTACGAAAATAGCAATCCGCTCTTTGCCCGGTCCCTTCCCTTCACACGGTGACCGGTAACAACGTAAAATAAATTAAAATACAATACAAAAACTGGAAATACAAAAACAAATACAGAAAATGTAAAACAAAAGAAAATTTTTAAAAATGTATGAAACAAAAGTTAAAAGAAAGATAAATAAACAAGATAAGTTAAAACAAAAAAAGAACAAAAACTATGAAAATAAAAGTAGAAACTTAACTAAAAATAGTAAAAAAAATGGAAAAGGAAACACAAAAAAACAAAAACTTAAAAAAGCAAAAATTAAATACGAAAAATTGAAAAAGAAATTTAAGAAATTAAAACGAAGCAAAAAAATAACAAAAAGTAAAAAATAAACAAGAAAAATTAAAAAACAAAAAGAAAATTAATAAAATAAAAGTGAAAACTTTAATTAAAAGTACAAAAGCTAAAAATACAAAAAGAAAAAAAAAAAACTAATAGTGCAAAGATAAAAAATAAAATTTTTTTTTTAATTTAGAAAAAAATAATAAAAACTAACAATTAAACAAGGAAAGGAATAACAAAGAATTAAAATAAAATACAAAAACAAATACAAAAAATAAAAGCAAAAGTAAAAACTAAGAATACAAAAACCAAAATAAAAATCTGAAATACAAAAGCAAAAACTAAAAATGTAAAAACAGAGGCTAAAAATATAAAAAATAAAAGTGCAAAAACAAAATTAAATACAAAAAATTAAAAAATAAAATTACAAATTTTAAAACGAAGTAAAAAGAAAATAACAAACTAAAAATTAAACGAAGAAAATTAAATAGAAAAAAGAAAATTAATAAAATAGAAGTGAAAACTTTAACTAAAAGTAGAAAAACAAATACGAGAACTAAAAGTACAAAAACAAAAGTAATTACAATAAAATGTTTAAAAAAAGTTTAAAAAAAGTAAATAAAACGAAAAATTAAAAAATCAAAAAATGAAGAAAGGAAAGTAAAAAAAAAACGTAAACTGAAATACAAAAAGAAAAATTAAAAATATACAAATGCAAAACAAAAGTAACATGGGTATAATAATAGAGAAACGGAAACTAAAAATAGAAAAACAAAAATAAAAAACTCAAAATTACAAAAACTAAAACTAAAAATAGAGAAACATAAAATAAAAATAGAAAAACAAAAATGAAAACTAAAATAACAAAACAAAAATTAATAATTACAATTATACTAAAGCAAAAAATAGAGAAACAGAAAATAAAAATAGAAAAACGAAAATGAAAATGAAAATTAAAAATACAAAACAAAAATTAATACATAATACAAAAACTATAAAAACTAACAAACTAAAACATTAAAATCGAAAGTAAAAACAAAAAAAATAAAATGAATAAAGTAAAAAAATAAATTTTAAAAGCAATAATAAACGAAAAAAAAGAAACAAAAATTATGAAATAAAGAGAGAAAAGTACAAGAATTAATAAAAACGTTTTTAAGTATTATTTTTATCTATTACTATTTTTTTATCTATAAAAAATTTCTTTTCGATTTCGAAATCCTCTAAAAAACTCCCTTGATTTGCAAATCAAAAATAAAAAAGGTTTCTTTAATTTTTAAATAAAAATTTGCAACTAAAATTACAAATCCAATTTTTTTTTCTCTATTACAGCATCAAACACTGGAGATGACAAACGAAACGGCTAAAACTGGTAAAGAGGGTTTGGTTTATGCTGAACTTGATCTCACTCAACAACAAGTGCCACAAGAAGGAACTCGTCGTGTCAACGATGATAAAACAGAATACGCCGAAATTTTGTACACGAAACCCGAGACCGAAGAAACAGCAGCAACAACACCACCACCATCATCAACAAAATAGTCTCATCAGCACAATACATTGTGATCTCCACGAAAAAAAAGAAATTAAGTCCCTAGCTTTACAGAGATTTCTAATTAAATGTACAATTATTGATGTTGATTTTTGTGAATGGTGCAAGTTTTTTTGTATTAAGTATTTTTTTTAGTTTTTTTTTCTTTTGTATAAGTAATTAGTGATTCAGCACAAACCAAGAGATACCGAAAAAAAATAGATGAAATAGAAGAGAGAAAAAAAAATCGATCAAAACTTGAATTTTAAGTTATTTTTCGGTACAGTAATTATTATACTTTAAAATTAAAATACGAATTAATACCAGAAATGAAATTAATATTTAATAACAATTTGACCAAAAAAAAAAACAAAAAAAAGAGTTAAATTAAAATTGAAAATAAATTAAAAGAGTTAAAATATTTAAACATTAAACAATTTAACAAAAAGAGGTTGAAATAAAAATCAAAAACAATTTAAAAAAACAGTTCACAGAGAATTTTATATTAGTTCCAAAAGTATATTGAACTTTTATGGAAAATTAATAAAAATAAACACTAAAATTAAGAGAAAAATTTTGAACAAATTTCGAAAGTTAATTAAAAGAAAAACGGAAATTAATCTAAAAGGTAAAAACAAATTGAAGTCAATTAGAAAAGAGGAAAAATATTTCTAAAAAATTGACAAGTGAAAATGAAAACTATTGTAAAATTTGAAATGCATTTATAATGTAAAATACAATAAAACATTGTGTTACCGTTGTATGAAGATAATACTATCAATTAAGGAAACGAATTTATTTATTTATAAATTTATAATTACTCTAAATTTGTAAACATTTATTTCTGAATTTAAAAAATTTATTTTAAAAATTGAAAAATTAATTTCTAAATTTTTATTTATAAATAAATAAATTCCAAACTTTTAATTTAGTTAATTAGAATAGAAATTACATTTAAGTGTGAACTTATAATTCAAGTACTTAATTAAAAAAAAGTGTGTGAGATTTAAGAATTATATATAATCGACTCAAGAAATTATATCGAAAGAAACAATTCCTAAAATATATTTTTAAAAATAACTATAAACAAATTAAAGAAAAATCGAAAAAGAATTGAAAAACGAATTCTAAAAAAACTGGCCTCTTCATTCTAACAAAGTTGTACGTGTACATTGTACCTGTTTATTGCAGGTATAAGACAAAAAAAAACTTAGAATTAAGTCGTTAGTAAGACTAGATATAAAAACTTTCGATACTCCTAAAAAAAATTCTTCGCATTACAATTTCCTTTTTAATTAAAATTTTCCTTTTTTTTACAAACGAATATTTCTAGTACTTTACGTTCACATAATTTTTTATTTTCAAAATAATTGTACCCTTTTTTTAAATTTAATCAATTTTATAATTTGTATTTTGTATTTTGTATTTTGTATTTTTTGAAGAAAAATACCTGTATTTTAGAACTTTAATAATTTTTTTTATTCTTTAATTTAAAAAAAAAATCTTTTGTACTTTTGTATTTAAAACAATTTGCAATATTATAGTTGTATATTTTTTTACAAAAAAAACTATTTGCCTTTATAATTTAAAATTATTAAAATCTTACAAATTAAATATTCAAATTAAATAATTATTTATCAGTATTTTTTATACTTTTTCGTATTTTAGATTTTAACTGATAAATTATTTTTTATTTCACATTTTTCAATTTTACTTTTTTATAATAAATAAACTAGAAATTTTAATTTTATTCAAATGCAAATTTTACTTTTTCCTTTAATCATAAATTATTTTTTATTTCTTATTTTTCAATTTTCGTTTTTTATAATGACAAAAGTATTTTTATTAAATTCGAACGCAAACTATTTTTATTTTCGAATTTAATAAGATGTGAATCCCTAAAAAAATATCTACAGATAAAATTTTGTAAAAATTTTCCACAAAGTGAAAAAAAAAATTTCTACAACATTTTATTGAAAAAAAAAACTTTTATATCTTTTTATAGTGCTAAATAATAATTGTATCTTTGTTCGTGCGTTTATAATTATAATTATAACGAATATTTATAATTACAATGATTATAATTTGCATTTATAACAAAAGTATTTTTTTAATTCTTTTAGTTTCGCTAGGATTAAAAGAAGAAAAAAAAAAAGAAAAAAGATATCTTTTCCATAATATGTACAATTGTAATGCTATATTATACGTGATATCAGACAACTTTTAATTAATATCTCATTGTAATATTCATAGTTATAAAGTAATAAATCACCTCGATGTACTTTTTATATATTAAAAAATATGCAGAAGCTTGCTGTAAGCTAATGCCAACGAAGTCTCGTCTATCCGTCCTATACAAAACAGTTGTAATTATTTCCCATGTTTGAAGGAAAATAAAAATAGGAAAACAGTTAATATTTCATTTTGTTCATTACAAACGATAATTCATTACCTTTGTATCCTCTTTCATATAAAAAAAAGGCGAGCATAAAATTATCATCAAACATTCCAAGGTAAGTAGCTTTTATTTTAATATAAGAAAAAAATTTTTGCCGCGAGTATTTTTATAGACACATTAATTTCAGGTGACAAAATTTTTTTTTCCTATCTAAAGAGTTTCTAAATCATTTGAAAGAATATTATTATCTTATTGTCGCAATTTAGAGCTTTATTGTTTATTCTTTAGAAGAGAATTATCAAATGAATTTTTAAAAACAATCTTTACAAATTTCCACTTTTTGAAACGTTGCTTCTTATTTTTTTTCGCTTCTTCTATAGCATGAAGTATTTTGAAATCTTTTAAATATATTTTTTATTTTTTTTTAAGAGGGGAATTTTTCTTTTATTCTGTTTTTAGTTTTTACATTGGAAAGAAATATTTTTTATTATTCCTAATAAATTTTTTTAAAAGAATAAAAAGAAGCTAATTTTTTCGTTTCAATTTTGAAAGAAATATTTTTGTCTCTAAAAATTTTTTTTAAATAAAAATATAGATTTTCTACTTTTAATCTTCGTTTTAAATTTTCTTATTGAAATATTTTCAAATATTTAAAACAAAACTTTCTTCTACACTAAACAAATTTTTTTTAAAGAATAAAGAGTAGAATTTCTTCTTTTCTTCGTTTTTACTTTGAAAGAAAATTTTTCCAATTTTAATAACAATTTTTTTCTCTAAAATAAAAAGAAGACAATTTCTTCTTTATTTTTTCGCCTCTAGTTTAGAAAAAATACTTTCCAAAAGAATATTTTTTTAATAATAAAATTATAGAATTTTTATTTTTAATCTCCGTTTTTTATTGAAATATTTTCAAATATTTAACACAAAAATTACTTTTTTTTAAAACAAATTTATTAAAGAAGATAATTTCTTCTCTTTTTCTTCGTTTTTACTTTGGAAGAACTTTTTTCCAATGTTTGTAAAAACTTTTTTTTTTAAAATAAAAAGAAGTCAATTTTTTCTTTATTTCTTCGCCTCTAGTTTGAAAAAAATGTTTTCCATTGTCTCAAAAGAAAATTTTTTTAATAATAAAAATATAGAATTTTTACTTTTATAATGTCCGTTCTTTTATAGAAGTATTTTCAAACAAATTTTTAAATTAGAATTTAAAATGTTTTCTTCTTTTAGAAGAAAAATAAAGGAGAAACCGTTTAAAGTTTTTTTTAATAAAGTATTTAAATAAAGGATTTAAGAATGAATCCAAAGAAAATAATTTAAAATTATGATTTTCTTCTTACAAAAAAAAATATTTCAATTGAATTCTTCATTTGGAATTATTTTCATTTTCAGAATCAAAATCACAAAAAATGTTTGGTTCTATTTCTTTCTATTTCTTTCTATATTTTCATAAACAAAATCACAAAAAATGTTTGGTTTCATTTTTTTAATTTCTACTATATTCAAAATCAACAACTTAAATTCGTTTTTCTTGACAAAAAAATATTTCTTCTATTCTTCTTTTTAGATTATTTTTGGAAGCAAAAGCACAAAAAAATTTCGTTTCTATTTATTCCTTTTATTTAATTTCTAGTACATTCAAGAACTACTAAATTCAAAATCGACATCTTTTGACTAATTGTCATTTTCATCATCATCACCATCATTAATATTATCATTATTATCATCATCATTATTATTAACATCATCATTTTTAGTACCATCATCATCAGCAGTAGCAATGCGATAATTTTCAGTTTCCTCCTGACCCAAATCATCAGAATCATGCTTATCTAGTTTATTCTCTTCGCCATCATCCCTACCCGATGGAATACGATGCTTGTAATTTTTAAATTTCCTAAGTCTGATTTCTTTTGTTTTCATTCTGAACCTGTTTCGACTCTCTTCTAGAATGAAACTAGGTTTCTTGCGGCAAACAACCGGTTTCACCAAAGCCGTCTTAGATTCTCCATTAACGTTCCATCCTCCACCTGAAAGCACATCACAACTTCCTCTTTTACCAACAAAATCCACCAATTTTGGAAAATCCCTAAACTCACAATCCGTATCCATTTCATAACCCTCTCTATCATTTGCCCGACAATAATCTTTCCGATCAAAATCACTTCTCGATTCTTCCGAATCTTTAAATCTTTTCACCACTTCATTTCTTCTCAAATCATTAAATCTCTTCGAATCTCTAAGCCTCCTTAAGAAACGATTTAATTTCTCCTCATTCAGTTCAGATCGAAGATAACAAACCGGTAGATTCTCCAACAAATCACCGTATTTCACTGCCAATTGCAAATTCCTACTAAATCGCCGATAATCATCAGCAGCAGGAACAACATCAGTGCCAGGAATGAAATTCCAATAATTCATTGTCTCACCCGGTGAATCGTAAACGGTACCAAATTTCTTCTTCCCCACCAAATTCCCCTCTTGAATAAAATTCATCTCCACCGGAGTCACACGAAACTCGAGTTGTTGATTACTATTCAACATTTTTGTCAGACAATACAAAAGACTAGGAAAATTTCTACAACGCAAAATATACACTGCTCCGTGATTTTTCTGAAAAATTGGAGGACCAATCCAATGGGGATCAATAGCGAAGAAATCGTCATCACTTCTAAAGACACCAAGTACAACCGATTTGCACTCAATTAATAAATTCGATGATTCATTCAGTGCTAATTCCAAAATTTCAGCTAATGATTTTTGATCAGTTCCGCCGTACAAAATTCCACAGAGGTTCAATTTGAATTGAAATCTCCAAAGATTGTTGGCAATTCTAAGGAATGATTGAAGATTGAAGTGATTTGAATGCGAGCAGATTTTTAAACTCTCTGCATAGTAGCAATCGCCTTGAATTACAGCCGAGTCGAGTAAACCCGAAGACCATTGGGACGGTTGACACAAATTTTGCATCGCGAGAATTGACAAACAAATTGCTGCCTGATTTTTCCCGACTCTTGAACCGAATTTACAATCGAACGATCCAATTGTCCCCCAGAGAGAATAGACTAAATTTGGAACTTCTGTCACGTAGTAATTCCAAAATAATTTAGTGGGTAATTTTTCAGATTTGGGGATTTTTGACAATTTTTGTTTATGACTATAAGACCAGTGGAGATCGAGGTAGGTCCAAATTGGATCTTCCAAAAATTCTGTTTTCGACAAATCTTCTTTATTGTTGACACATTCAATGTGGAAATCGTGAATCAAAAATCCAGTCGTGTGTTCAAATTTATTTGAGAGCATTTGATGAACCATGTCGCAAATTTTTGAGAAAATGAACAGACAACTTCGGCCAGTTTTTGGGGATTTTTTTCCATTTCTGTTGCAGGGATAGGGATCGAGATAGTAGTAGCGATTTGTTGCTCTTGAGTACCAGAAACCGTAGCAACAATTGGTGAATTGTATTATTCCATCTGTGCGAGTTTTGAAATGTATTCGGAATTTTTTTCTCAGTGTGATGAAGAAATTTTTGGTACCTGAAAATGAAGAAACGAGGAATTTTTAAATTTCAAAAGGGAAAAGAATTTAGAGAAGAAATTTTGAAAAAAGAATTCAAGAAAAGAATTTAGAAAAGAATACAAAAAAATAAATTAAAGAAAGAATCCGAAAAAGAAATCAGATAAAAATTAAAAAAGAAATGTTAGAAGAAAGGAAAAAAACCAAATACCACAATTAGTCTTCACTTCCACCAAAGACGAGGCACAATCTCGAAAATCAAAAATCCGATTCAGTATTCTAACATTTTTCAAAATATGTTCAGTGTGATATTTCGGTTCCCGAAAATCCTTATACAAATTCTCAGCCATCTCAATAATTCTATCAATCATTCCCGCGGTGGGATTTTGAACAATATCGCGTTTCATCATCACACTCAAAATTGCAACAAAATAGCATCTCTTCACAAGAGGTTCTTTAATTGTATCTCTATCCCGCAGAGCAACATTTCCAAACAACAGATTTGATTTCAAGGACAAATCAACAGGTCGAAAGATATCATCAATATTATACTGTTGATCGTCATCATCATCATCATTATCTTTCCTATGAATCTGTGGCAATGAAGACGAAGGTACTACAATTTCATGCATTCCCGAATCATCAGTACAATCTGGATTCAATTGTAATGCATAGGATATTGTCACAATTCGTATCGAAAATTCTTTTTCCTCAGTTTCATCAATTTCTTGTACGATCAATTTTAAAAATTCCTCAAAATCTTCCGTAGTGATGAGTCTCAAATTTTTCGTTCTCTGAACGCCCCACCACGCAAAATGATTTTTATTTCTCTTCATCACTCCAATATGTTTTCCACCACAGATTATAATTGCTCCCGTATAAATTGTCATCTCGAAGATTTTTTTTAACGACATCGCAAGATTCCAGCCTTCAATCGCGTACAGTTTACCTTTTAAATAAAGATTGCTATCAAACAAACAGAACTTTGCAAATGGTGAAGCTGATCATAATTGGTGCTAATGATTATTGCAGAAAATTATAATTAAAGCTAATGATAATTAGTGTTAATCTAGTAATCTTATCTAATTTAATATAATCTAATATAATCTAATCTAATAAAAAGCAGAAATTAATAAAACTTGAAACTCATATTAATTTAAGCTACTAAGAACAAAAATTACCAGTATTTCTCAAATAAAATTCAAACCTTTACGAATCGGTCCAAAAACAACTCGAAAAGTGTAATTAGCAATGTTGAACTCCAGAAGAAGTCCATCAGTCATATCCGTAACTGTGCTGTCTTCAAAAGCCAATAAACTATCAAAGGCATAATCGCGAGCAGCTTCGTATATTCCTTTCACTGTTTTGACGCCCCATGTAATTGGATCATGAACACCAGCCCAACCCATCACACAAAGATCAATTGGTTCCAGTAGATAGCAATTTCCCTTGAATCTTCTATCATAGACCTTGATTCTTTCCATTTTATCCTCAGATTTATCGTTATAATCATTCTTTTCTTTCTGCATTCTAAATGGTGCTAGTTCAGGTCGTGTTACGTCATTCTCAACAACCGTCACTTCGAAAAATGATGCATTATAGTTCCGTAGAGCAATAAATCCAGAACATGTTTTATCTTCGTTTGGTGTATGGATATTTGGTTTGGTTTCGTTATTTCTTCTCTTATTCGTCACCCAAGTGGGAAGTTCTATTAGGGAATATTTCGCTTCCGGTGCAATTAGATCTGATGATTGATCTGTTTCTGAATCATCATCATCATCATTATTACTATCTTCTTCATCATCTGTACAATCGTCTAGGCAATCTTCCTCTTGATCAATGGAATTTTTCTGATCAATGTTTTCCCCACAGGCATTTTTTCTCGTCGTGTTGCATTTCTTCTTTTTCTTTTCGACCCTCGGCTCGATGTGACTAATCAAGAGGGAATAGAGACAATATTTCTTTATTGCTGCCTCACCGGTATTTTCCATTATTCTTCCGATCATTGTTGGTAGATCGCAGAACTTCATGAGACAAGAAAAACCTTCACCTGCTCGTCCAGTATTATCACAGGAATAAGGATCAAAAAGGTAAAACATATCATTTTCCCGCCAAATGGCATACGAAGCATTTTCAAATACTAAAATTCCAGTCTGATCCTTATTCAAATAGGCATCCAAAATTTGATTCAAATCATCATCTTCCGAATTCTCCTGATCAACGCTTTTAATTTCATTCAAGAGTACATTACACTTCATGTTAAAAATTTCAATATTGTTGAATGATCGCGACGATTTATAGCGAAGTCTGCCAACTTGTTGTGATATTTTATTGGCAAGAACAATAAATTGATCTAAAATTGTGCTGGAAAATTCGTCAACATCTTTGATGACTTTGGCAATGATGCAGAGTATCGCCGAGTAGAAACAAGTTTTAAAATGGGGCGTCGTCTTTTCTTCTCGATTTTCCAAATACATATTTCCACTGATCGTTGCCAGTTCCTTGTCTTCAGTTACAGCGAATCCAATTCTTTCCGGTTCGATTTTACGAGGATTTTGATTTTTCTCTTCCTGTTTCTCTGGTTCTTTCGACTCTTGAATTGCGTTTTCCTCATTCCCCTGTACGGAAAAATTTATTTTTATTCTTAAATAATTTAGTGTTGGTTGTTGAATGAAAATGATAAATGATTGAAGTTATTAGTGATTGCAGTTGGGAATAAATGAAGATAATAATAATTGATGTTATCAGTTATTGATACTAATAATGTCTGATTGAAGCTAATAATAATTTTGGTTAACAATGATTAATGCTATCAGTGACAATATTATCAGTGATTGAAGCTAAGAAAAACATTAAGTTAATAATAACTGCAACTCTTAATTATTTATGCTACCAGTGATTGATTGCTATTAATTCTTAATGCTACAAAAACAAATGATTGGTATCACTGATTGCTGCTACCAATAACTGATGATATCAATAACTGATGATATCAATAACTGATGCTAACAATAACAATTGATATTTTGATTGAATCTAGCAACAATAGTAGTTATCAATTATTATTGATGCAGCAACTACAAATTACGATGATAATGGTTTGGTGATACTGATAATAATTATTAATCAAATGATAAAATGATCGAATAAAACCAACAACAAAATTGCACCCAACCTGATTAACATTTTTCCTCCCGGGAAACAGCATTTCCAACAAAATTTCTTCAGTTCCACAAACAAGTTTCTCCATAATCGGATCACATTTGTCCCGTTTCGATAATTTGCATTCTTTTCTCCTCCTCTTCTCTTCAAAACAAGATCCTTGCTCCCTGAACGGTGTTCTTATAACTGGACCAAGAGGAAGAATTTCCATAGTACTAGATTCCTCTAAATCTTCATACTCTTCACTCTCATCTTTCTCCCTCATGCATTTGTCTTGCATCTTCCTGTCCAAATCTTCATCCTGAATAAAATCCTCATCAATCGCTCTAATTGGTGTCAAACCCGTTGGAGCGACTCTTGAAAAAATGTACTTCTTAGGTGGTAACTTGATCATTCTTGAAGCTGTTCCCTTATCAGATGTAACTTCTACAATTCCAGCTGATTGATTATTATCATTATCAATTGCTCCATCAGTTTTTCGTTTCGAATTGATAGAAAATTTCGAGACCAATGAATGAACTGATCCAATCGTATGTTTTGCTTCGAGAAGAATATTCAGCGTTTGCTTTGGTGGAAGAGAACAAGTTCCAGAGAAACAGCATTTCAATTTTTCGTATTTATTATCTTCTTCTTCTTTCTGATTAATTTTGTCGTCAGTCTCTAATTTTATCGCTCCTGTAATTAGGGCTAAATTGAGTGTTTCCGGTGCGTCTGGTTGATCCTGTTCTTCGACTTCCAGAAGAGGATCTTCTTCTTCTTTTTCTTCTCCTTCTTCTTCATCTTCGAGGGTAATTTCATCCGTATCGTCTTCGTCTGTATCTTCATCATCGTCATCACTATCATCCTCGCTTTCCTCTTCAGAAACACCTTCAGCCTCTTTCTCATCATCTTCCACCGGCGGTACAAACAAATCCTCATCAGTAATCGGAAGAAACTTCGTAACAAACTTTCCAGGTGTTTCATCTTCACCAACTTCTGTCGGATTTTCTACACTGTACTTTTTCCCAATTGATTCCACTTCCACAAAATGGAGACAAAACTCCAGGTCATTAAATTCTAGGATTCCGTAGAATAAATCAGTTAGTTCGTTGATACTATCAGTGATAGCAAACGAAGCCGGATGTCCTCTGACCCGCCAACCTTCCTCATCACTTCCGTACGAATTGAACACATAATATTTATCCTCATGATTCCAAAGTCCATAGAAGAGTTTCTTGTTCTCAAGAATAAGTTCCGAGTGATTCTGAAAGTAACGCTCGAAAGCTTCCCCTAGATTCGCCAGTGGATTAGCAGTACCTTCAATTAGCTTCATTTGTCGCTTGAAGGTCACGACGTTCTCGCTGAGTTTCAACTTGGTTGGTAGCATTGATACTTCCAGATAGAGTGGAAACGATTTTCCCAATTTGATCGACTCATCATCATCATCGTCTTCTTCTTCATCATCATCGTCGTCGTCATCTTCATCATCATCATCAGATTCATCGTCGGAATCATCTTCCGAATCTGTTGCTTCACCATCAGCAGGACTCCCTCGTTTGATCCAGAATAACGTGTCTTTATAGGACTTGTGTCCTAGGTCAATAATATAATTCACGTCTACATTTCTCCACTTCGCTGGGTCTTTCAATCTTCCGTAAGCGATTGCAATTATTGCCATCACCAATCCCTGACGACCCCTCATCCTCTTTTCAAATTCCTCCGCCAAACAGTTCTTTGATCCCTGAAGAACAAGACGATGGGGGTTTACTATCTTGTAACTTTTGATGATATTTTCATCACTCAGCTCTGATTCTTTTTCTTCTTTCTGATCGGATTCTGATGCAGTAGCTTCTTTTTGATCAGAATCTTTCGATCCAGCTTTGTTTTGATCGGATTCTTTGGGTCCAGGTTTATTTTGATTGGATCCTCTCGGTCCACTTTCGTTTTGATCAGATTTTTTCACAGCAGCTTTCTTTGAACCAGATTCTTTCGTTCCTTCTTGATCGCATACGTTCGTTCCAGGTTTATTTTCACCATTTCGTAAAGAATCCGTTTTTCCTCCCAAGAGATTTTGAAGGTATGCTTCATCATACCTTCTGGGTTCATCATCCGTCATCATGAATTCCTCGACGTTTGCCATAAATTCTGGAAATCCTATCGCAGCGTCCTTGAACTTAACGGTATCAGGTCTTTTTCTAGGAATCTTGTCCTTATTAATATCACAGTCTCTGGCAACTGGATTCCTGTCGTCCTGATAGATCACTTTACCAAAAGGAGAACCCGATTCACCAGCTGATTTGATCCACAACACTTGGAGACCATGAATCACAACAGAATCCTCCTTGTTAATATTCGTGTTTCTCAGTAGAATTTCAATAATTCCGTTGATCGATTTGCTCATAATCACACAAGCCCCAGACTGACTGTTAATTTCCTCTTCCGAATCCTCGGATGCTTTCAAAACCTCATGAAGTTTAGAGTCGTCTAAATATTCCTCACCTTGCACATCATTTGGATCTGCCGGAACTTTCAAATCTTCAGGACCTTCCGGATCTTCTGAAACTTTAGGACCTTCTGAGTCTTTAGAACTATCTGCACCTTTAAGATTTTTAGAACCTTCTAAAACGTTAGGACCTTTAGGATCCTCTGGAACTTTGGGACCTTCCGAATCTTTAGGATCTTCTGGAGCATTAGGATCTTCTGTAACTTTAGGACCTTCTGCATCTTTACCACCTTCTTCAACATTCGGATCCACCAATTCCTCTGGACTGTTAGAATCTCCAGAACCAATTAACACTTTAGAATCGAGTCTAAAGCCTTCAGCATCACATGCGAACGGATCCAGCAGGTAGTACTTGCTCTGATCTTTCCAAATCGCATAATACTGATTTTTCACCCCAAGAATTCCTGAATCCTCTTTTTCGAAGAACTCCCGAATCAGCGATTCCAGTGGAGCGATGTCTCCCTCTTCACTTTTCTCCTGACTCGAAGCAAACTTCTCCAGAAGTTTAATCTTCGCCAGAAAGACTCCAAGAATCACATCGCTCATCAATTCCTCCGGCTGGAGATCAAAAGAGTCATCAAACTTCTTCTCCAAAACTCTCGTCAGGTCTATCAAATAAACATGCGCCTGATTCATCATCTGATCAACAAGAGGCTGTTTCCATTCACTACTTCTCACCAGTTTCGAATAAATAATCGCAGCCAGAGCCACAACCAAATCTCCCCGTCCTCTCAAAATCAAAGGCACTTTTTCATCCAGAAGATGATACCCCGCTTGCAAAACACTTCGGCAATCACTCCTATTCCTAAATCCAACCGCCTCAGGTACCAATTCCTCATCCGAATCGTTCAATCCTCCGACAGGTAATTTCTGCACTCCATCAATTCTCACATCATAGAGGACAAAATATTCATTCTTCACTCGACTCTTCTCCAAAATGATGAATAAAAGACTCATCAGATCGTGAACAATGATCAAGTGAGCGGCTCCTTCATCGGACACTTGACAACATTCGTTCCTAGGTTGACCATCAAAGATGTAAAATGTCTCCTTCTTATCATCATCATTCTTTTTCTTCATCTTTTCACGCCAAATGGCAACATTCAAAACTGACGAAGTAATCACCGCCGAATCATAACTTCCAAAAAATAATTCGAGCACATTGACAATATCGGGAATTATTGGATCTTTTGATCGAAATTTACCAACGAAACAAGGTTCCTTGATACAGAGAGAGACTTGATGTGATTTTCGAATATTAATGAAACTTCTAAAATTAAAAAACTTCAATACTCGCTTGTCATTGCCGCAAAATTGCTCGTTCGACTTGCAATAATACTTATTTCCATCTCTCACAATCTGGTCAATTATCTTATCGTTCCAACATTTTGGTTTCAACACACCCGTTGTTGCGAAAGCTGACACTGCAATATGTCCTCCCTTTTTTCAAACGCAAAAAAAGTACAATATTTATTATTCGAAAATTTAAATTTTTAATTATAATAATTTATTACAATAAATAGTAAAATTAAAAATAAAATAGACAACGACATAAATGTTTAATCTGATCCGGAACTAATTAATTAATTAGTAAAATAATCAGATAACTCATTATGATTAACTGATTAATTCATTTTTTTGTTAATCAACTATTATTTAATTAATTTTTTAGGTTAATTTAATTCTAATGATTTCATAATTTAATTTTAATTTTGCCTAATTCCCAACAGAATTTATTATTAATCGAATCTGGAATTAATTACTTAATTAATTAACTAGTTCTTCTTTAAATTAGTTAATTTCTTTTTTTATAATTTAGAAACCTAATTTTAATTTTCTATAATTCTCGGAAAAATTTATCATAAATCAAATCCATAATTCATAGGTTAATTAAGTTGTTAGTTAATTATTATTAATAATTGATTATTAATTAACAAACTGATTAAATAATTGTTTAGTTAATTCACTATAGTTTTTTTTTATTTTTTATTAATTAAGTAGTTATTAGTTATCTAATTAATTAATTGTTCCGTTAGTTAACAAATCAATTAATTAATTAATTTATTTATTAGTTAATTAACTAGCTAAATAATAATTGTTAGTTAATCAACAAGTTATTTAATTAATTAGTAAATTAATTGTTTAGTTAATCAACAAGTTGATTAATTCATTAATTAGTTAATTAATGAGTTAATTAATTAATATATTAGTTAAGTAAGTAGTTAATTAAAAAATTATTAAATATCTGCCTTTTTAAGTAGGTAACCAGTGAATTAACTAATTTGTTAAATATTAATTCAGTTAATCAATTAATTAGTTGGTTAATTAATTGCTAAATTAATTGTTCAGTTAATTTCCAAATTGATTAATTAATTAAGAATTTAATTATTTAACTACTTATTTAAAAATCTGGCAGTTAATTAACCAGATAATGAATTCATTGGTTAATTATCTAGTTAATCAATTGATTACTAAATTTGTTAACTAGTGAATTATTTAGCTGATTATATTTAATCAGTTTTTTTAAAGTTATTTACCAATTTCCAATCGCTTAATAATATTTATGATTAAAAAAACCAATCCATAATATCAAGTTAAATTTTTCATTTTAATGTCATTGATTTCATTTAATTTAAAAAAAAAATTTTATTAAAAGAAAAATTATATTGTCACACATTAAATAAAATTATACCTTCATATAAAGGATAAATATTATAATTAAAGAAAATGTTCTGATAAAAGTGGAATATTCTTTTTTTTTAAAATAACGATTATACTCGATAAGATTCGCAGATAATTTGGAACAATTACGCAAAAAAGTGTAACGAAACGAGGGTAATAATTATATATTATATAATATAGTAATAATAACAATAACAATAACATAACAAAAAACAACATAAGCACCTGCAGGCCACGGGATAATGGTGGAAATAATTTCGAATTACAGTGAATTGTTCCTGACCTTGAGCCAAATTTTGTATTGGGCGAAAGGGTAATTTTCATTCGTCGATTGGAATAAATATCTTCCTCAAGATTAAGTAATTGCCTGATTTTTTGATAGTCATTATCAATGTTAATTTCATTGAATTCATCATATGTTGGATCACATTCTTTGCGTGAAGAAATTTCTTTTGCAATTTTACCCCTGCCATTTAATGCAGAAACAGACATTATTTTCTCACGATTAATGAATTTTTTTTTACATTTCTTTTTCTTTTCCATTTTTTGCCCTGAATATGATTGACTCCTGTCGCCTTCTCCCTTCTTTGTCGACATTTCTTTTCATTCTTTTTTAATAACAGAGAAAATATCTTTTCATTATCATTTAAAGTTTATTTGAAAAATGTAAAATTTATTCCACAGGAACAATTAATTAATTAATTTATTTATTTATGAATTAAACAATAAAATAATTAATTAATTAATATTTTACTTAATAAGTAATTATTTTACCTACTAATTATTTTGTTAAATTGTAATTTTTCAAGTGAATTAATTGAATAATAAAGTTAAATTTTATTTTGTAAATGACTTTGTAAATTTATAATTAGTAAATTATTATAATTAATAATTATAATTAATTTATTTATTTAATAAAAGAAGGTTATCGTTGCAAAAAATTTTAAATACCTTTATTTTCAATTTTTCGAAGTTTTGTCATTCTTTTATTTTCATTAACTGAGAACCTTTACCTGAATTTCATTATTTAATTTTTTTTAACATTTAACACAATATTGGAAACAATATTTACAGAAATAAATTTAAAAATTGTAATCAAAATGTTTTTCCAAAATAAAAATAAAAAAAAAGAAAGTGTGACAGTTTTGGAGACCACAAAATGTCAAAATTTACAAATGTTCAAAATTCACGTGTTTAGAGGGAACTTTTATTTAGAAAAAAAACAAAATTTCTAAGTAAAACTGAGAAAGAGTATAAATTTTTTTCTAAAATAATAAAATCCACAATGAAAATAAAAGAAAACCATTGCAATTTTCCCTTCGAAAAATGTAAACTAATTATTTCAAAAGTATTTTAATAAAAATTATAACCTTCGAAAATGATTACAAAATAAAAGAAAAAAATTCCCACAAAAATTCCCAGAAATAAATCTTTCCACTAAAAGTAAGTTTCATCAAGCATTTAATATTTATTGTACGTACTCGTAATTTAAATGCACACGAGGAATTCATAAATAATTAATAAAATTTACAATCAGTTCATTTAGAAACGTTAATAACCTGTTTTGTGCGCAAAAAAAAAATTACGATCACGTTTTTCACCTCAAAAATCCTCTCAAAAAGTATTAAAAAAAATTTATGAGAGATAAATTTAAGAAAAAAATTTGATTTATTCTTTTCTTTTCTATTAATATTTTTCATTAAAAATAAAAAATTATGTCAAACTATATTGATTAAAATTGAAAAATTTATTATTTTACTGAAAAATAATAATTAAATGTTGTATATTTATTTATTTTAGTGGAAAAAAGCACCCTTTGAAAATTACGGAATAAATTCTTAAATTGTATCAGTCACGTGCGCCAATGTGTGAGCAAGAAAACGATAATATTTTACAAGATGAAAATTAATCAGAACTACACTAATAGTTCAAGGAGAATGACACAAATCGAAAATCAATGTCAATAAAATTAATTATATACTCAATACATTTCCATTGACCAACATCGTTCATTATCTTAAAACACATTTTTTTCAATTAATTTTAAAATTGTACTAATTATAACTTACATTAGAATTTATAAATTATACTAAATATAAACTACATTATAATTTATAATATAATTAATAAATTATAAATTAAACTAATTATGAATTATGTTATAAATTAAACTAATTAAAAATTATATTATAAATTATACTAGTTGGAAAATTCTTTAATTAAAAAATATTATTAATAACACTATACCGTCAAATAGGGCAATTGGTAACAATGGGGTAATAAGTGGTAGGACTTTAAATTTTGATTCAGATTGTTTATTACCAACATTTTTGTTGTCTGATCTTCGTGAAACAAACATTTACAAAAACTGTCCATATTACAAAAAACGGACAACAAAAAAAGTCAATAATAAACATTTGACGTTAATATCAATTTTTTCAAAATAACATAATAAATAAATCGTGAATAAAATATTCTACATAAAATAATAATAATAATAATAAAATAAAATAAATATTCTAGATAAATAATATAAAATGAACAATCAAAGAAAGAACTGCAGTAAATATGAAGAAGGAACAAAAAGAAAATTGTCATTCAAGAAGAAGAAAAAGAAGCAAAAAGTGCATGAAAAAAATGACGATTGTCAGGAGCAAAAACCATTGTGTAATAAAGGTCCAAAAAAGATGAAGAAAAAGACTGTTAGACCATGTCCTCATAAAAATGAATGGAAATGTAACGATTTATTAGCAAAAATAAAACCCTCTCTTTCGGTACGAGAGAAATACTCTAATCCACAGCACATTGTTTGTTTCACCGAAAAAACACTAAATTCACAAAAACATAATGGAATAATTTATACAATCGCACAAGGTACGTTTCAGATCCTCTAAATTACTTTAAATAATTTATAACGAATCCGGAAAGTCTTCAAGGTTATAAGGAATTTTTAGAATCAACGTCACCTATTTTTCCGTTTAAACAGTTCTTATTCAATTATTACTTATTGGTTATTAATTAAAGATTATAACTTATTAGTTGATTAACAACTATTATTTACTAATTATTACTTGTTGATTAATACTTATTGATTATTAATTATTAACTATTCATTATTCAACAATTATTAATTACCACTTATTATTTATTAATTAATTATTACTAATTAGTAATTACTATACACTAGTTACTAATTAATTCTTGAATAACTATCTTTAATTAATGAATTATCTTTCATGAATAATAATCATCAAATTAAACAATTTAACAGTAGAATTAATTAATTAGTTAATTAAATAACTAATTAACTAATTATTGGGACAGTGAATTAATTAGTTTATTAAATATTCGACCAATTAATTAATTACTACTCTTTAGATTTGAATTAGTAAACATTTTTACAAATTTGAATTAGTGACTGACTTTTTGCTTTTCAATTAGTAAATTTTACTAATAAATAGTAATTTCTACTTATTTAAATATTTATTAATAAAATTTAACTAATTCATAACTAATTAAAAAGCATAAAGTCAGTCACTAATTCAAATTAGTAAACATATTTACAAATTTAAATTTAAAGAGTGTAATTATTATTGTATTAATTACTTAAATAATTAGAATTCGAAGAATATTACTATTTTAATTATAATAATAATAAAAAAAATAGTAATGACAATATTAAAATAAAAATAATACGAAAAATAGTAATAAAAATAAATAATCAGATAATTTACGACATTACAACAAATTGATTTTTATCAAATAGAAAGTGTCATCCCACACACTGATTGATCAATTTTTTTTGTGACATAATCACACGCCATTAGTTTCAAACAATTTGATACATTACTCCGAAATTTTGAATTTATTACGATACTAAACGATTTTTAAATTGACCTTTTCTAAAAGTTCTCACAAACTTTACATTTTGAACTCTCTAATAATAAAATATTTATGGTTCAGATGAAACGAAAAATTTTAAATCCAAAAAAGTCGAATCCTGGTGTAAAAATTTTTCAGAGGAAAAATTATTATTAAAACCCTGGGAAATTGAATGCGATTCTATTTGTTCCTTTGACAGTGTAATTGATTTAGAAGGTAAATGTAAAATACATTTTTTATATATTAATAAAAAATATATTTATTTACATAGTAAAAAATATATTTTCCATAAATTAGTAAATTTTATTTCTTAATTTCAAAAAGGTTTGTCACTGACGCAAAAAGAATTAAAGAAAATTGAAAAAAATCGAAGAGTTAGTAATTCATCAAAGGGAAATGAGGAAGAAATAAATGAAGATACAGAAATCGATAAGACTGAAGAATAAAATAGAAAAAATGTCAAACTGAAGACAATTTGATAATGAAGGATAATTTTCAAAAGTAAATTTAATCTAAATTTTCACTTTTTATGTAAAAAAAATTGTACAAAAAGTACTGAAAGAATAAATAAATACAAAATAAATAATCCCACTTCGAAAAATTCCATTGAAGTAACCCCTGGAAATTCCATGGAAATTCTAAAAGTTTTTTATTTTAATAATATTTTAACATTTTTTTTTATGATCAGAACTTTTTTAGTTCTTGACAATTTTTTTTACCAACTTTTGGATACGATTATCAAATTTGATCCTTTTTCATTAAATTGGAGATTTTTAATTAAAGAAGAGCTTTTTCCGAAACGCAGAGTTACTTAGAACTTTTTTAGAGTTTATTTCTGATTCAGAAAAAATTTGTATCATGACAAACGACGCTGGTCTCGTAAATTTATTTTTACTTCCATAGAATTTTTCAACGTGGGAATAAAAATAATAAATTCAAGAAAAATAAATACGAAATAATTAAAAAAATAAATGAAGAAAACAGTAAACAAAAATTAAAAGAAAGAAATAAAAAATTGGAGAAACAAACAAAAAAACGAAAAAAAAAGTAAGGGAAACTGAAATTAGAACGAGCAGAAAGTGATTGTATTTCCTCTTCTAACTCACTTAGTGAATAAAAATTAGAGAAAAAATAAATTAAAAAAAAGCAATTAAATACACCTTTCCTTCCGGTGAACCGGCTCGCAGGAATGACCTTTCAACCTAAATAGATAATAGGTCACTGGTGTGGTAAATTAGCGCTTATATATACTTCTGATCCTCTTATCGTCGATTGGAGGCTGTGTGTAAGTGCATTATCATCAGCTTCTAAAGAAACTCTTTTGAAAATCCTACGTATCCGTTTCGAAGAGATGCATTAAACATATTCAGTAATTGAACGGTCATCATCATTGAAAGACGTTAATAATATTAGTGAAAAACAAAAAAACTATATTTTTTTTTTGAAATCCACAAAAATGGTCCACAGTGATCCAATTAAGCCATTACAAAAACAATGGTCACGTTTGCGAAAAGAAACGGAATTTAAATCAGTCGAATCTTTATTAAATCTCCGCAATGCCATGATATCAAGTCAGCGAAATATAATTTGTGACCAGAAAATTTTGGGTAAGTTTCAATTTTTATCTTTAGTGTTTTTGTTAACTAATTCAATATTTTGTTGAGTCACTTAAAATTTTTGTGGACTAAATTAATATCCTGTTAACTAATAAAAAT